TCTAGCTCAGGTGACAGTTGCCGTATCGTTATGTGGGTGTGTGTGGGGACTTTACTCTCTGCGAGCTTGTAGCACAGCTCCGGCCGCCGGCCGGCCGTCGCGCGGACGGGCGGGGGGTTTGAGGGGGGGGGGGTTGTGCAGTGCACTCGTTGTACTATTACGTGAGCCACCCTGCCTTCGCCGCGCCACGCCGCCACTGTGGCCAGGACGCCCTCTGCGGGTGCCCGGCCGGCCCGGCCCCGGCCCGCCCGACCCCGGGCCCCCCCTTGGTGCCTGGCGCGCGCTCAGCGAATGCAATGCAGTGCAATGCAATGCAGTGCGCGAATGGTGCAACGGCGACGCAGTGCCTCGCCGTGCTCTGGTGCGCCCTGGCCTGCAGTGGCGTCCGCCTCGCCACGCCTTGCCACCCCTCGCTTATTATGACTGCACCGCTGCGTATGACTATGACCCCCGCGCTTATCTAGCACCCTTCCGCGTACAGCCATCCGTCTGCCCGCTCCCGGCTACCGCCCGACTGGTGAGCAGCTCTCTGCCCTCCTTCCCTGCCGCTCCCGCTGCACTGGTGAGCAGGCCCTCTGGTCCTCATCCTCACCCCCGCCCGACCATGGTGAGCAGCCCTCTCGGATCCTCCCTGGCCATGCCGCTAGCTCCCTTCCCGGGTGCATCTTCTCCACCACCACCACCCCTGCCCACTCTACCCCTCCGCCTGTAAATGGATTAGGTTGGCAGCCGGCGGTGCTTTCTTAACCTTGGGGGTAGCAAACTTTATTGAGCTTCAGTTTTGTTACCTAACCCCGGGCAACGTAACGCGCGAGCGCGCAGGGCGAGGGGGAAACGACTGTTAAAATTTGTGTCAGCCGGATTACGGATTACCCGGATTACCTCCGGAGTGTCTAGTGTCTTCCAGATTACGTTGCTTTTTCTCTAGGATTACCCCGGATTACCCCAAAATTTTCCTGGATTACCCCAAAATTTGCCCGGATTACCCCGGGCTTTTTAGAATTTTCTCGGATTACCCCAGCCGGATTACCTAACGGCTGTCAGCCAGATTACCTTAGTCGTTTCCCCCTCGGCGCAGGGGCTGCAGGGCAGGGCGAGCAGAGCGCCGCGCTGCCGGTCCTGATCAGCACGCGTCCAGCGCGGCGGCGGCGGCTCTAGGGGCAGACCCGACAAGTGACAAGTCTTGGATGACATCTTCCTGTCGAACACCCTTCCGCCCCACCCGCGACACCCTGGTGACTTCATCCTCGTCACGGCCAAGGACGGCGTAAACTACCAGACACGCGGTAAATCGACGGTCTCCTTCAACGGCAGTCAAGTTGGCGTGTTGTGAGATCAAGTATATTACAGATACAGGAGAACTGCTACGAAACGGCCACTCCAAAAAAGATGATGGCGTTATAATTATGTTGATCCCGTGCGTAGATTTAATGATGACTTGTGGGACCTTGGAGATGTGAAGTGTAGCCCGGCCTCTGGGCCGGGGGCCGGTCCGCGACGTTGGCCGTTCCTCCCACAGCGTAAACGAGCCTTCTTTGACGTAACCGAAAAGAGCAGACCCCGGTGCAGCACGGCCGCGGCGGCCCGGACAGCTCTAGCGGCCCACACGCATGCAATACAGTGCAGTCACTTTCGCCTCGGTTGGCATGCGTCGTGTCGCAACACCACAAATCCATCGACGCGTCGCCTTCTGGACTTAATAAAGCGAACCATTAGAACAACATAAACGGGAAGAATAAAACGAAATGCAGATTAGTGGCGACCCTCCCGACAAACTTATCAGCGATAAGGCAAAAACGACCGGCAGCCAGCCCGGGGGCGTGTTTGATCTGGCGGTGTTGGGGCGATACGCGACCACACGAGACCTCTTGCACGTGCCGATTCAGAGTCCACCAGCTGGTCCAGTCCATGAGACCTGTCGAGGATGTGTTAGACTGGTCAGACAATGGAAAAAGAGGAGGAAATTGCGCGACATCCTTGGGGCTTTCGGCCGAACTGACCAAGTTCAAGTTTCAGGCGCGCGGAGAGAGCGTATTTGTTCGTCTTCGTGTGTTTTACCGTTCAGAGCATCCCTCCACGTTGTCACGGTACATCGTACGCCAATACCTAACTGGTAGGCGGGCCTTATCCCAAACCCCGACTGACCCAAGTGTTTCTGTTGCAGGGGCACTACCGGCGCGGCGCTGCTCTCACGGCGCTCAGCCGCTACGAGGAGGCCCTGAGCGCGTTCTGCGCGTGCGCCGCCCTGGAGCGCGGGCCGCAGGGCCCGCAGGCGGTGCGCGGCGAGGTGACGCGCGTGCTGCACCGGCTGCTGGCGGCGCGCTGCAGCCCCCGAGCCGGGGTGCGCTGCGCGGCGCGCGGCAGCATGGCCAACGGCCGCGGGGTGCAGTGGTCCTCCGGCCTGGGGCCGAGCCACCAGGGCCACCAGAGCCACCAGAGCCACGGCCTCAGCCGCCTCCAGGGCATGGCGTGGCGCGCACCGCCACCCTGCTCGTCGGACTGCGAAGACAACTCCAGTGACGAGGACTGCGCGGCTCAGGCGAAAGTGGCGGCCCGCGGTGGCGGCAGGGGTCCGGGCAGGGGGGTGAGTCGCTGCTGTTCCAGAGGGCTGAGCCTCGGCCAGTCCTCGCACCAGCACCAACTGCACCTGCAGGACCTCAGCGGCGTCCCCGCGCCTACGGACCCTTACCTAGACACGCTGCTCGACCGGGTGTTCCAGGACGTCGAGAAGATTAAAAGTGAGTAGTGCGCCGGTTGTCGCGACAGCGAGCTGCTGCTGGCGACGCCTCCGCTCTCCCGAGCTCGCTATGACGTGTTGATTCTGGTTGCAGGGCTGGATGGGCGCGACCCTCCCGGCGACGCCCTGGTCGTGGATCCCCGACTAGTGGACCATTCGGAACTGGACTGCGTGCTCTGCTGCAGGACGCTGTGGAAGCCAGTGACGACGCCCTGCGGACACACCTACTGCTGCATGTGTTTGGATCGCTGTCTTGACTACAGCTTCTCGTGTCCGCTCTGCATGACGTCGCTGTCCGAGGTGAGCCCCATTGCCTCGGCGCTCCGAGCTACACAAAGTACGCCGATGACCCGCGACCTAACAGACTCAATCCTTTTGCAGTACGTGGCGGCCAGCCCCCGCAGCGTGACTGAGTGGGTGGAGGCGGCGCTGCGGCAGGCGGCACCCCGCGAGCTGGCCCAGCGCCAGGTCACGCACGCCCAAGAGCTGTCGGAGCAAGGCCCCGTGCCCGCGGGCGCGGCCGGCGCGGCCCTGCCCCCGGGCTCCCTGGGCCCGCTGCTGGCGGTCCGGCGCGGCCCGGGCGCCGTCCCCGGCCTGCCCATGGGCCTCCCCGTGCCGGTCTTCGTCTGCACCACGGCCTTTCCCGGGGTGCCCTGTCCGCTGTACGTGTACGAGCCTCGATACCGACTCATGGTCAGGCGCTGCGTCGAGTCGGGCACCAGGACCTTCGGCATGGCGGCTTGTGTGTACCGCAGTGGAGGACCCGACAGGTAAACAAGGGCCTGCTGCGACGACCCGAAAGTCCCCCCCCCCCCCTTGAAACCACGCTCTATAACTCACCCTTTCTGCAGGTACGCCGAGTACGGCACGCTGCTGGAGATCTGCGACCTGGTGCGCATGTGTGACGGCTCGTCCATCCTGAGCACGCTGGGGTCGCGGCGCTTCCGAGTGCTGCAGCGAGGGGAGCGCGACGGCTACGATGTGGCCAACGTGCAGCTCCTCCAGGACGAGCCCACCCCCGCCGAGCGCCTGCCAGGTGAGTGCCGCGCTGCCGCGCACCGGAGGTCGCCGGCGATGCTGCTGCCGTAAGCCAGCACCCAGGTACTAACGCCGAGGTCTTCCCTCCTCCACCAGGCGTGCGGCAACTCCACGGACTGGTGCGGGCGAAGAGCGAGTTCTGGCTGTCGTCCATGGGCGGCGAGCTGCGTGCCGAGATCGAACGCTCGTTTGGGGTCATGCCCGGCGTAGAGGACGGCTGGGAGGACAGCTGTGACGGACCCAAGTGGACGTGGTACCTACTGGCCGTCCTGCCCCTTGGGCCCCAACTGCAAGTGCGTGCTTCATCAATTTCGGGATCCCTGTTAAATTTGTACCTAATTTCTTTTCTGGCGTTTGAGCTGATTTAGAGTTTTCTCTCGTTTTAGGTGGGCATTCTGAGCACGACCAGTGTGGAGAAGCGCCTTAGGGCGATTGATAAGACCTTGGACCATCTGGCCCAGCGCCTGCGAGCCCCGCGGTCAACGCAAGCACCAGCACAAGACCAAGCTCACGAGCAGGCCGATACCCTGGCAGATGCTCAGGCTCAGCAGCGGCGGCAACAGCAGCAGCAGGAGCTAGGGGCGTTGTCCTCATGACGTCTATAGTAACCTTGCACCGGACTGTTGACTTTAAGAGCCTGCGCTTAAAGTAGGGTTCTCTACTTCAATGGAGGAGTAATAAGTATTATTGTGTGTGATTTGAATGTGTGTAAACAACTGGTGACGTCCTGAGGCTCCCTATGACACTCACATTGACTTGTCGACCTTGTTGAGCGCGCGCAGGCCCTCAGAATCAACGGCGAGACCATGCCCACGCTCCATATGTATTGAACAAAGATGTTTCGTGAGGGTCAAGAATACCAAAGTTACTATAAGTGGCGCAAAGATTTTCCAGTCCACAAATCTGTTCCTCAGTTTTTCAAAATTTGCAACAAATATTTTCCTGAGAAGGAACACTGCTGGATGATAGCTAAATATTATGCGACAACCACGCATACTGGGTCTACATGTGATATTATTCGTGATGAAACCAGCATTTTTAGTTCCTGCTTATTGTTTTAATACAAACATCACATTGATTTAAATGGTAAAGAGAATGGGAGAGTAGTTGCACACTATAAGTAGTGGAACAGTAGATGCTGTCCTGCATTTATGGCTTTGTTTTTTCAACTTTCTTTTGTCAGATTTGGGACCTAGCAGCAGCATTTTTATACTAGCACAAATTGAGTTTTGAATTTTTAGTTTCCTTTATATTGTAGCAAAGGGTTATGGGCTGTGGAAATTTTTATTAGAAGAATGTGAAAATTGATACCAAAGGGATGGAACTCCTGCTCTTTTTTTCCACTTCATAAAAGAGAAATGAAGAGAGCAAGCAAATGACCAGTGTGAATATTTAAGGTTTAAAGGATTGCCATTGAAGCTTAATGTGTACCTAGCGCTGTGAATGAGGGAGCGTAAATGTTAATGATGAGGCTGCAGGAACCAGGGGCTGTGAAATCTATCTATAAAGTAATACAATATTCCAAATTATTAATTTTGTTTTAAAAGTTTTAAAAGACTGTAGATATGAATGAATTTCTAAATCTCTTTTATTAACACATTCAGTGCTGCGGAACAATCCAGGGATTGGAAAGCACAGCAAAGTGTGATCAAAGTGCGGTCGCACCAAACTGAAAGTGTGAAATTATTAGTTTTTGATTCCCTGTCAATACATCTAGGTAGCATCCTCTTGACAGGGATGCTTTCACAGCAATAAAACTTGAAAATCTAAAATGAAAAGCATTGTACTTTTTACATTAGATTTCCAGTTTCCTCACCCCATCATAAACGTAACAGAGTCTGTGATTGTATGTTGATGTGCTCCATAGTAGATGTGATTAGTCCTGCAAGCTGCAAGCTGCACCTTTAATGTAGATGGCATTTTCGTTTTGGAATAAAATTCCAATTATTATTTATTGATTCCTTTATTGGCTTACACAATTTAAGTAAAATATTTTGATTATTTAGTTTGTTTATTTTTTAATGATAGAAGTTTTCATGTTGATAATGTACTATTTCAAGGTTTTATGTTCATTACCGAAAAGCTATCCACAATGTTTGCCTGTCAAGAATTTAGGACCTTTTACTGTCATCAATTTTTGTTGTCACATCTGAAATGTGAATTTATAGGCTATCATTGACCTATTTTGTCCACAAGACTTTGAAGTTTAAAAACAGCTGTGGTTGTAACTCAAGCATGAAAATAAGCAAAGTTCAAGAATTATTTCTAGTCATACAGTTTTCAGATGTAATATGCAATATGGTTTCATAATCGAGAGAGCTTGATGCTGTTATGTTATTATTACAGCAAGATGTGTGAACTGACTGCAATTTTTCATTGAGTTCAAAAAGCTTTCAGATTACTTTATCTGAGAATTACAAGATAAAATTACAATATAAAATAAAAACAGCAGTTATGGGCAGTCACATTCTATAATAAAAATGTGTTGACATGTTAGAGAACGTTCAGTTTTGTTCAAAGTTAAGGTAAGATCCCCTCACTGCTCAAGCTCGTAATTTACTGAATGAAAGTATATATGAATATTAAGGTTTATTATTATTTAAAATTTACTAACTGATGGTCTGTAAGTTTTAAAGAACTGAGCAAAATATGAGTCAGTATTTCATATTAGAAGGATTGTTCTACGAGTTAGTATAGTCAAGAATGAAATAAACAAAAAGATTATATGTACTTCGTATCATTTCCCATGATCCATCTAGGGCTGAATTATTGGATGCATCAAGCATGAGAAATACATCTTCATCTTCAACTAACTCGCCTTTCCTGAATCTGGACTTTTAGTCTGGAACTTTGAGAAATTTGTCTGTTATGACTAGGGTGTAGGTAGTTTGAACCAGCAACTTTTTCTCACAAATTGGTTCAAACTTCACCCGAAGCGGACCGAGCGCCCCTCGCCTCGAGCCCCGACCCGAACCCGAACCAGCTGAGCAGACGAGCGGCGAAGGGAGAGTTGCTTTTTCTCTAGCTTTTCTGCTACTGCTTGTTAGTTTGGAATTTGCTCTACATATATGTGTAGATAAATGTGAAGGTCTTCAGTAAATACAAGAATGGAATCGACGATTTTCAGATTATGCTTGGGAGAGTGTCCAATATCCATTTTACTTTAATCTCAGGAATAAACATTCTCCAGTAACGGATAAAAATAAATATGAAATCTTACTGTGGACCCTGGTTGTCTGATGCTAGTAAGCAATAAATGTAATTTTTTTACCATTTCATTTAACAGCTATGTAATACTGGATCAAAAGCATTAATAATAGGATTAATTGAATTCACTCGTCGCAGAGACGCAAGACTGTAAATTTAAACAAACAGAATAACAACTGTTATATTTCACGACACCACGCAAGCATGCTAGCTCGTTATTCATGACAGCGTTCTTCCTAGGCATCTTAGCTCATTACATTTGATTTAGTCTAGTGAAAGGGTTCATAGATTCATATTAAAAATTCTTGTGGGATACAAGCATACGCAACAGCTTCTAAGTCAGCCAACACTTGTGTTTTTTTTGAGCATTTTGTTTTAAATTACTTTAGTCTTTCATGTAAAATCCTGTTTTGTGGATAGTAAAATAACAAAATCTTTATTGAATTACTCTCCTCAAGCATGATCAGGGTTTATGAAATCGTCAAGTCAAAAGTATTTGTTGTCGAGTTATTATAACAAATTTTCATTCAACAAAGAATGTTTAGATGAATAATGAGATGAATACAAAAAAGTCAACTGTTTGCTGTTTTTGTTTTGGACAACAAATTAAAAATACTACTTTCGATTTGTTGGAACGGACAAGCTGTAAGCAGCTGTAAGCTTTTAGTAGCAGTCAAAGTCAGAAGTCAGTGGCAGACCGGCGCTCGACTCTAGACACTTGAGAGAGTCTAGTGGCCACTACCTTCCACTACTCGTCTCTTCCCGCGTCACGGTTCGTCCCGCTCGGTCGCCGTTCGGGCATGGTTCGGGTTCGCCGCGAGTCCCGACCCGAAATCACCATGCGCGAGGCTAGGAGCACTAGGAGCAGACGAGCTTCCATAACCTCTTGCTCTCCACCTTGAGTTTTGAGATACTAATTTCTCACGCAATTCTCTTCGCACCGCCGCGGAACATGACTTATTTTAAATTTTAGGCTTGCAGGTGCTTATGAACTATAAAACTCGCCCGCTCTCAGACAAAATCTGGTGATGACAACGATTAACATGAGCGAAGAAGGCACGCAATTTCTCCTAGCTCTAGTCTCGCACAGGGTGTCGAAAATCAACTTGAACTTTTGTCGACGTTTTCTTCTTATTTTTGTGGTTCTGTATTTTTGTATTTTGCCCGAATCTACTTTACAGTATGACATAACAGAAATCATCAGTGTATTTTAGGTTTGTTTAAACGGTACAGCTCCTATTTAGTTAAAAAAAAATTGACACTGTCATTTTTTTTATTAATTAAAAATATTTTTGGACCAGAGCCAAGCAGCTGTTTTTATTGGATGACGTCACTTCACTTGTCATTTGACAGACGTCAGGGCGTATATGTCACGACTATCGTTGTGAGTCACGAAAACAAATAAAAAGAGGCACATGACAGTTCCTCTTATCGCCTCAAAAAAGTATCTTCCTCCGCTGGTATAACCGTTGGTATGTGAACACTTCAATTTTTTGTGTTTCTTCTATGTTAAAGGCCTCCAAATAGGTTAGTGCACCCCCGGTTTTGATTGTTTAGCTAATTATAATATACATCTGGTATAGATTTTTTGACTGACAAGTGCGTTAGCCGATGACTGATGACAATTTACATTTTCTTGTTGTAGCTTTTTCTCTGCTGAATATTCCGAACCACTCTCTTTCACCATGTCATACCCACAGAATTTGGTAAGTAGGTCTGACTTATTGGACCAAGTCGGTTTACAACTTATATCAACTCAGTTTTGCATTGTGTTTATTAACGAGTCGCCTACTTTACTTAGGTTGTGCCTTATCGAGGTTTAATACCTTCAGGAATCTTTCCTGGTCGCATGATACGAATTCAAGGAAGAGTTCTGCCATCTGCTCTGAGGTACAGAGAAATTCCTCAAGTCTGTATGGTTTTATCACTTAAACTTTTGTATCCTCATAATCTGGGAAATGTTTCTATTTCACAGGTTTGCGGTTAATCTTCAATGTGGACCAAACACTGAACCACGAGATGATATGGCTATCCACTTTTCTCCTCAATTCGATTCTCATAAAGTCATCAGAAATAGTCTACAGAATTTGATGTGGGGACCAGAGGAAAGTCTTGGCTTCTTCCCATTCTCTCCAGGACAGCCATTTGAACTCATCATACTGTGTGAAGCAACCCACTTCAAGGTTTGATCTTTGTTTTTGTTTCTGTGATACTTGAAAATGGTTAATTTAAAACCCAGTGGGTCCCGTTTTTGTCACTTAAAGATTCTCTGAATATGGAGTGTTTGTCACTATACCCTACCATGTAGAAAGTGTATTTTCCTGCATTAAAATATTAATACACAAATTTTTGTGTTGCAGTTTGCTATAAATGGGCAACACTACACTGAGTTTGAGCATCGAATGGCCTTTCAAAGAGTAACTCACATAACTGTTGATGGCGATTTGGAACTGACATCTGTTCGCTTTGAGGATCCACCTCCAGAAATTGTGCCCGGCGGTACAACTATTGCTCCTTCAAGTGGTTATATTATGCCAATGGCCTATGACCCGTCTCCTGCAATTTATCCCTCTGTTAACCCTCCTGCTTACACAGCATATGCTCCACAATATCAGTATGAACCACAACAAACATATGTTGTTCAAAATCAGGTTGGTATTGTTTGAGCTTTCTTACAGCAATAATTATTATGTTCTGTTTAGAGACTGCATTCTCAAAACATTCATAATTGTGTCTCTACTTACAGTCAGGGGGTGGCTTAGGCAAGTATGGTTCTGCAGCTGTGGGAGCCGCTGCCGGTATGGCATTAGGTGGCCTCGGTGGATATGCCATCAGCAATGCCCTCCATCACAGTGGATCTTCATCTTGTTCTGACAGTGATTAAGTTTTCAACATTCATTGAGGTCTCATGCTGTGTCTTTTTATCTAAACATGATAGTACAGTTTGAAGGCTGAATCATGCATTATACTAGTTTGACAACCTCTGCTACTGTTTAAATGCAGGCTTCATCTCAGTAATAGACCAGCAAATTTGTTCAAACATTTCCAAGTATTCTTCTTATTCTTCACTATACACCTTACTCACAAAGTATGTACTCTCATTCCAAGTGAATCTCTAATTTTGTGTGTACAATAAATGTTGTTAATGTATTTTTAAGAATTATCTTTAGTTTGTTGTTTCAGCGAGCAGCTACTAACTTATTTGTTGTCTTTAATTTCACTAAATATTTTACTAATGCACTGCACTATATTTTACCTTCAGCTTCTTATTATACAGAAACTGTAATATGTTACTATTTTCTGAGCATTAAAAAAAAAGACAGATATCTAACATAAGCCTTTTCCCCACTTTAACTCCGGTTCCCAAACCACGTCGAATTATTGCTAGCACATGACTTACAGATCGTCCAGAAAATGCTTTTTGGTGATTCATTCGGCAAATTACGGCAGCTCAGCGCCTGCGGGACTGAGGTAGGCCACTCCGCAGTACACGCATGCACTGCATGCACGCTATTGCCTATCTATCAGGCACTATGATAGCTTACATTTGCTGAATTTAGCAGGTTTGCTACGACGAATGATAGACGTACTTTCTGGATGATCCCTTAGTAGTCGCCCACCTGCCTGACACCGGAAAACCCAGGTCTAAGTTGTAGGCAGTGCGCTGGGCAGGCCAACCCGCCAAGCACTTCTCTTCACAATTCTTTCGGCAGCTCGCCCCCGCAATAAACTAAGACAATGGGGCCCGGGGTCCCCCCAAACCTAAGGGATAGCAGGTTGTGAACCCCGGCCCAGAGCCGACACTTTAGCCACCTATGACGCAGTGCCTCCAACAATGGTAACCACTACGCCATCGGAACTCCACGAGAGGGGCGTGGTGAAATGACGGTTTTGAAGTCCATTTGAAATTTGGTGGCCTGAGAAAAATTTCAGACATACGGAGAGTCGAACCACCGACCTCCCGCGCTCTGAGCGGACGCGCTACCGACTGAGCCATAGAGGCGCGATACGAACTTGTGCTCCAGGGAACGAACCATTCTACGCTGTCGCTTACTAGCGTCGCTCCTTGTCTCCCGTAATACAGGACCGACTTTGAACGCGCAGTGGCGAAGACGGGCGGGTGGCCGAGCGCGCTAAATCGTGCTCGTGTCAAACTGTTCGCCCGAGAGTCGACTCCCGGCTAGGGCAGATATATATTTTATCTTCTTCAGTTCTGTGGCAGCTGAGGTTGCTCAATTGTGACCAGTCTGAAACTGTCTGGAGTTCGACTCCCGGCCAGCCCATAATAGTTTATTATCCTGATCATTTCACTATTGTCACTTGGCACTTCCCTGGCCCGCCTGCTGGAGCCACACAACAATGCGCGGGACGGGAAGCATCCCCAAAGGATCACATCCTGGACAAGCGAGGAGGGATTGCCTACCCCAGGAAAGAATCACATCCCGTGACCACGATATGTCGGTGAGTATGTCGTAATTATTGCTCTCCTCCTTTGCCGTGCCGCGTCCCTACCCCTCTCCTCCCCCCCACCCCCACCGCGCATTTCCCGCGCCTTTATGGAAACGTAAACAAACAGTGAATATCGGTGCCACGATCAGTGTTTCTGCCAAATACCGATAAAACCTTCTCATATAATTATTGATCATAGGATTTTAACTAGAATTTTAGAGTGGACATCGCCGCTTTTCGTTATTAATCGCAAGGTATAGTGTTTACTTGTTTCCAGTCCGGAATATTGAATTGTTCCGTTCCGGTTTTTGTTGTAGGAGGTTATGCACCTGTGGCCCAATTTTTACACGCACAATTAAGTTGTAAGTTAGTTTTTGAGGCCGAGTAAATGTTGCCCGTGATGTAAATAACTTGGCTCACTGTCAGCTTTGCTGAAATGCTGAAAAGGTGTTGAATGGGTAGACTCCTCCAATCCATGCAGTATGTTAAATACTGTTGTAGGTCCTCATGCAAATGGGTGAGCCTGCCAGTGTTTTATCAC